GCACGTGGGCTCAGTAGTTGTGGCTCGTGGGCTCTAGAGCGCAGGCTCAGTAGTTGTGGCGCACGGGCTTAGTTGCTCCGCGGCATGTGGGATCTTCCCGGACCAGGGCTCGAACCCGTGTCCCCTGCATTGGCAGGTGGATTCTTAACCACCGCGCCACCAGGGAAGTCCTCGCCCATTGGTTCTTATGCACATCGAAGTCTTGAGAATCACTGAGGTAGAGAATCAAGTCAACTAGACCTACAGAACGCCAGAAGCTGACCGGAAAAGGTCATCCTGTAGCTAGCAAACACTGGAAGATCTCAGACTTCATGGCTGGCTCTTTATGGGCCTAGTTTTTCAACCTTACAACAACCAGGAAGAATCCAGTTGTCGAAAATGTCATCACTAGAAAGACTTCAAGCAAAACAGGTGACTTCTACAAAGATGTCTTAAGGGCCAGGCCCTGTTGTGTCTACCAATCAAGATCACATTTATTTTTGTGAAGGGAACAGCCGTGTTGTCTGTCTGGGCTACCAGCACACCTAATTATAGCAGCATCCACGTTGCTGGCGATAGCAGATATGGTCTCCTGCCCAGGAGATTATCTCGTGGCTGAACAGTTTTGAGCCAACTTAAACAAAACAGAACTGACTTACCTCATTCTTCAATCATCACTAATTAAAGACAACCTTCTGCTAGAGGCAGGCGGGGCTTTTGCTTTCTTTTGCCCTGGAATAGAGATTTCTCAGAGATAGCTTCTATTAATGAATGTATAATGTGGGTGCCACTTCCCAGGCGTTTAGAAAAAGCACAATTGAAATTGCCAAGATGGAACATGGAAGTCTGCACGTCAACAGGTAATTAGAAAACGGAGCTTCTGTGCCGTCTTCCTCCTCCTCCACCTCTCCTCTCTCCTTTGAATCCCTGACGCCTACGGAACGGGGCTGCTGGTGGCTACAGTTTACTGAGCACCTAAGTAGGAAGCGCATGATAATTACAACGAGGACAGCAGTTGGCCCTTCCATGGCCCTCACTTCAACCCCGGAACTGCGTGTTTACCTGTATCATAGTTTAATCCTCATAACAAGCCAGAGTTAGGTATTAGTATTCTAGTCCTATTTTACAAACAAGGAAAGTGAGCACAGAGTGATTAATGAACTTGCCCTAGAGTCCATATTCTTTTTTTTTTTTTTTTTGCGGTACACGGGCCTCTCACTGTTGTGGCCTCTCCCGTTATGGAGCACAGGCTCCGGACGCGCAGGCTCAGCGGCCATGGCTCACAGGCCCAGCCACTCCGCAGCACGTGGGATCTTCCCGGACCGGGTCACGAACCCGCGTCCCCTGCATCGGCAGGCGGACTCTCAACCACTGCGCCACCAGGGAAGCCCTGGGCAGTTCATTTTTATAAATTGCATCCAAAAGCGGCTTAGGTTAGAGTGCCCTTTTTCTGGTGGTGAGGCTGCCCTTTCAAGCGGATCTTCTTTTGCCTTTGCCGGGACATCGGCTGGGCCTGGGGTGATAGGGCGTGGTTGCAGGCCAGAAACTAATGGTTCCCTCATGGGCTGTGATTTCAGTCACTTGCTGCTCCAGCCAAGTGAGCTAAAAAAACCACAGACAACATACCTCTGTCATGTCATTGTTCTCAGAAATGTGGGACAATAGGAATGGAGGAAATTTCCAGCCAAGGCAAAACTCAACCTTAGGTACACACACACACACACACACACACACACACGCATGCACAGTTGTCAATTGAGCCAAGTGTATTTTTGATGAATGATTAGTGGGGCTTTCCAAGAATCTGGCAAAATAACACTTGAAGGGGTTTTAGCGCAGCCTTGAGATGCATGAGAGCTATGAACCTCCTTATGTTATCATTTTTCCAAAATAATTACCAGAGCAGCAGAAAGAGGTTTTCCTTAGGGGGTTTCTAAACAGGGGTCTGATCACTTTATCCATCCTTAAGTTTGTAGTGCCAAAGATAAATAACAATCTTATACTTACACGATGGGGGCCTTTCTACATTAAGAGGGAGGAATTACATTACACAGGAGAGAAACAACGACTAGTTCAATTTAATCATTCACTGAATTTATCTAGTGTCGAGAATGCTTGGAGAAAAAATATAACTTTTTTAATTTTTTAAATTTAAATTAAAAAAAATTTTAATTTTAATTTAAATAATTTTTAAAATTTTAGAATTATATTTTATTTAATTTTTTTAAATTTAAAAATGTTTTAAATTTTTAAGGAAAATGTTATACAATTTTAATCAGCACTCATTAGAACCAATTTTAATGGCATGCTAACAAAATTTTCCAAACCCAGTAAGTTCTGAGATGGCAGAACTGTGTCTCATGACTGATGTGACCCCATTGCTTAGAAGAGTTCCTGGCACATGGCTAATGCTCAGTAACTATCTATTGATCAGCTGTCCCACTGGCGTTCCTTCCAGCTGACCACTTTGATGATGATGATGATGATGGCAGTGCTACGTACTTGGGAAGCAGGATCCGTTAATCTTTCCAACGATGCTACCAAGTAGTTAAAATTACGGTCCTCATCTTACAGAGGAGGGAAGTGAGGGATAGTGAAGCTCTGTTACATGCCCAGGTGATGGTAGAACCTGCTAGAAAGTGGTAGGGCTGAGATTGGAACTGAGATCGCCCTGCTCCTGGAGTCTGAGTTCTTAGTCACTGTTCTAGTCTGTCTGTCTATCATCAGTGGTAGGCTTCAGGTGGTGAAGTTGAGTTCTTGCCTGGAGTCAAGAAGAAGAGTCCTGAGGTTATTTTAACATCATTTCTGGCAAGTGTGTGGCGAGAGGGAAGTGTTTCTATTTTGTTCCATACTCTCTGGAGGCATTTTTGGTGACACAGCCCTTTGGAACTCACCACTGGTGATTCCAGAATGTCTCTAAAATTTCTCTGTAAGTTCCTTTCTTTGAGCCCCACCCAGAATCTCCCAAACACAAAGAGAAACTCTGTTACAAAGTGGGAATGAGGTACCCAGACTAGTTCATAAAAGCCAATTTAACTAATAATTAAAATACAGTGATAAACTAGTAATTAAGCCAGATGGAAAAGGGTAGCATTCAGTAAGCTATAATTCATAAAACTGTTTGATGCTCAAGGAAATATAGACTTAATGAAGAGAAAGATTGTTTTTTTAATTTGAAGACCACTGGATCCTTTCATAAAGGCTTTTAGACACAGGTAATGCTAGCACTTTAATTCCGATTTCTCTTTGAAACCTGGCTTTCCTGTTCTTTGTACCTTAGATAGGGGTGATATTACAAGGCACTCTCATACTTGACACCAGTCATTAGATTGATTTTGTTCATGTGTAGAACAAAAGATGGAGGGAGATAAAAGGGAAGGGGGAGGGGAGGGTTCCCCACTGGGCACTGGTCTGGGCTGGGGTGACCGGAGGAGATGAGAGGGGGCAGCAGAGGGGATGTGTGTGTAGAGATGAGAAACTAAATACGTGAGCTCCACGTGGGGAACCAGGACACGCCTCTTGAAGGAGAAGCACAGCTGTGATGAGAAAAGGTCAAGAGTGTGCCTGTGTGCACAACTGTGCCTGTGTGATTGTGTGTTCTTACGTTCAGTTGTGCATTTATTCCATTTATCGAGCATCTTCTTTAGGCCAGCCCTGTGCTCACAGATAAAGTCTGGGTCCTCAGGCAGTTTACATTTTTGTGGGGAAAAGAGACAAAAGACAAGCAAACAAGCATATAAAAAAAACCAAATAAAATCACATACAGTGAAAACGGCCAGGATGAAACTAATTGAGGCACTAGGAGAATGAATAACAAAGGCACCAAACTGGAAGGGAAGTCTCCTGGAGAATGTGACTCGAAAGCCATGTATGAGGAAGAACTAGAAGAAGAACATTTCAGGGAGAGGGACCAACAAGAACCAAGGGCCTGGAGAGACAAAGTACCTGGTGAGTTCTAAGAACTGGATGGAAAGCCAGTGTGACTGCAGCTCAGTGGTTAACAGGGAGAGAAACGTGTGATGAGCAAGAAGACGTGGCAGGGTGGGTCCATGAAGGAACTCACGCCAAGCTGGAGGGTCAGTTTAATTCTAAGGGCAGGGGGAAAGCCACTGGGGGCGTTTGAGGGAGGGAGTGACAGGTCGAAGGAGCTTCCACAAAGTTGGGCTTGGCTGTTGGGAGGAGAACGCATTGGGGGGTCAGGGACCAGTTGTGCTCATCACGGTGGCATGCGTCCTCCTGTCCCTGTTATAGGCACTGGGCAGACTGGGGAACCAGACAGCCACTTGCCTTTTGGCATTTTACAGCTGATAGGACACTCAGTGTGAGTAACGTGGTTTTTGAGAGTTTTGATTTTACAGACGGTAGACGACAGAAGTGGAGGACTCACAGGGTACTGCAACTTTCTCTGGCTAAAGAAAGTAAAAACTCAACTACCATCTGTGATCACATTCTTTTCATAAGAGAAAGGATATTTAAAAACCCAAACTCTAAGGATATAATCTTGGGGGGAAAAGACCCAATTTTGTAGAAAACACTACGCTTTCCTTGTAGTTTCAACATTTTGCTTTAGAAGCGGTGAGAACCTCCTTCCAGGCTGGGTACACACTCCCACATCAGTGTTCAGAACATCAGTGCTTTGGAACCATTGAGCCTGCCTATCTCGCCCATTTCACAGGTGAGACAAAGTGAGGTTCAGGAGGCATGTGGCTTTCTCAGGGTGATGATGTGAGTTAAGGGCAGAGGGCCAAGGCCCCAGTCCCCTCGCTCCAGGTTCATTCTCCTTCCATTACATCATCACGCTGTATAGTCCGGATGATTTCTTCTGCTTTGCCAACTTTCAGATACTGCCCCATCTATTCCTGTCCAGGGTGCAGTATGCTGGCCATTTTCACTTCCCTGCCAAGATTTCTGAGAGCTGAGATACTTATGAAGAAACCAGAACTCAGCAAAACAGCTCACAGCCCAGAGCCTGATAAAAAGGAATTCCATTCTTTATAAAGAAGAGGAGGGTGGTGTCTTACCTGATCTTTAGATAGGCTGCAACTCCGAACACCAGCAACACCACGGCAATGACTGTCACCGTAATGGCGGCGATGCTGCCTGGGAAGGAGAAGAGGCACAGAAAGAAGATGAAGGAGGGGTGTTCATTCCAGATCATTCTGCAATGCGAAACCCAGGAGCTTAACTCTGTTATCAAAATGCTTCTCAGGCTAGGCTAAGTTCGGTAAATGGCCAATCTTTATGAAGACCTTTTGGCTGGCCCTGAGTTCAGAAAACAGTTCACAGTAATATTTGATCATGTTTTTAAGAATGATCTGTTGCTGCTGCTGCTGCCGTCTGCAGGGGTAGTGGATTTAAAATCTCCTGAAGTACTATTTTCTTCTTTCACGTGCTTTAGCTTGTCTTTCTAGCATTTGCAAAATATTGGAAGACCTAGGATGCTTAGTCAAGGGTCATGACAAAATAATGCTTTTGATTTTTTGATAAAACAGAACCACAGCGCTATGTCAGTAGTGTCCACTTCAAAAGGGTCATCTTGGTAGGAGATGCACTAATTTTAATGATGCCATCAAATCAAAGCATTTTAAAAGAACACCTCTTTGGGTCATGTGTCCAGTTTTCAGCCCTGAAAGGTGAATCTGATTTTGTAGAGGATAAAGTCAAGTTTGGTGTAAAAATAAGGTCAAGTCTGGTAGGTAACGCTATGTTTTGTTTGTAGAAATAACCGGGTACAATTATAAAGTAACATGAAGGTTTTATTGTGTAGTTTAAAATCTGTTTCCAAAGGCAACTATTAATGGGCAGTTAAAAAACAAAAAACCCTTTGAGCACACAGCCTTGTAAGAATAACCATACTGCTTCCAGAGATTACTACTTTGGGGCACAATGCTCCTTTTGTGTGAGTTGGTGGCTAATAATGTATATATTTCAGTTTTATTTCACCTCAGAAATACCAAGAATCAATTGGGCTTTTGTCTCCTCATTGTTAAAGTGACTTTTTGGCATTAAAGTTGGTACTAGGGATCCCATTTACTCGTTCAGGCCACTGAGAAATTATTTTTTACTTCAACAAATGAACGGGACTCTTAAACACACTAGAAAGAGCATCAGATCTGGAGTCTGAATATGCGGATTCAAGTGTGCTTCTATCATTAGCTGTCTGACTATGGGCTAATTACTTAACCCTGTGGACCCATCCACCACTCACCTGCTGTGACAGAGAAAAGAAGAGCTGTTCTACCTGCCCACATAATTTGAAGAAAATTAAATGAGGTGCCCTGTGCACCAAGCTAAAGTCCTATCCAGATATACCTTCCTGGACCAGTGCCCATCTTTCATGAACTACATCGCAAAGGTGATGGATCTGTCCCACGTTTTTGGAGATTTACTATTTGTGGATGATTCTGCCACTTCTCCCTCTATTTTTTTCCCCCCTGTCTTACGAATGGCTTTTGTATATTGTTCTTCTCATTAGCCCTTCCACCAAAGGAATTAGAGCAGAGCTAAGAAGCAAATGAGTCTACTCATTAACTCTTTGGTAACTCCCACAAAGGTATGGGTGAAAGAAGGCTACAGGAGACATGCATGCCCCCGCTGGTTATAATTTCTAAAAGGCCAAGGAGGTATTGCTAACATTGAGACTAAGACCAGAACTTGATGTGTCTACACAGACCGACCATAATGTACCATTTTAGAGCTTCCACACTTCTGGACACTCACAGGCCCATCTCTTTGCTCCTAGAGTCCTTTAGGGCCAGATTGGTATAATTATCAGTACCGTTCTCTTTCCTTTTTACTATTGTCAAGGTAGAATTATGGCACCGAACACTCAAATATGAAGACTGGATCAAGTAGAGAAAGTTTGAGGTCAGTCCCCTTATGGATAACCTCTACCCTGCACTCAGCTTCTCAGCCTCCAAACTGCGCTGAAATTAGAACAATTCAAAGTTCACTGAAGCCTCTTAACAGCTCTTTTAAGAGCTTGTGAAATGAGGATTATTACTGCAAGGTAAGGTGATGGGGGTATTTCAAGATTCAAAAAGGTACACTGATTGCAATTAGGAGCTTTGAAAACTGACCTTTAAATTTAACTTCCTCCTTTCAAAAAAATGGGAGGAGAGAAAGAATATAGTTGATTTCTCTATAAGACCCTTCTTTCTTGCCCCAGGATACATTTAATTGAGGAAATCATAGGTTTGTCCTTCAAAGTTTCTTCCCTAACTCTAGGCAGTTGGATCTCCTCCAACTCTGCGGTTTACTGGATATATTTAAATACCACCTCTACTGAAGATAAAACAGGCAGTTCCCCAACTCAAGTGCTGTTTTTTTTTTTTGAAACAGAAAGTAGTAGAATGACCGCTTCCTCTCCATGTGACTGAGGGCTGTCTGGCTCTCGGTGTAGACCAGTCTTCAAACAGGGCTCTTCAAGGCCACCCTTCTTGTTCACAAAGGACAGCCAGGCAACAAGAGATGGAATTAGCAGGTGATTCCCCCCATGGGCCCTTGAGGGCAGCTGAGCGAAGGGGCGTTTCTGAGGGTTCATATTGCCCCAAAGGAGGCCAAAACGTGTGAGGTGAAATAGATGGTACTTAAATATTCGGGCCACCTCCTTAACTATTCTGCCACCCACCAGCTCTTCTCAGAGGGTGCCACCATGGGGGCAAGGGTCTTCTGGAACTAGAAGGGCTTCATCAGCCCCCAGCCTGGGAGGGCTTGTGTCCTAAGCTCGCTTTCACCTCCACGGCAGCTGCAGCTGCCCCCCTCCGAAGCAGCCCGGAAGTTCATGCTGGGAAGTTCCACGCCTCAGGGCATCGCGGTTTGAGCATCTGAGGGGTTTGCTGAGCTGACAGTAGCCGAGGGTAGCAGGACTTTATGCGGGAACCCAAAAGGCCTGATTTCCTCCTTGTGAAAACAAATGCCATTTCCCCCGGAGTTCTGTTTAAAGTAAACTGGATACTTCATGACCTTTTTTTCACCCTTAGATTCCATATATATGTGTTAGCATACAGTATTTGTTTTTCTCTGGGATAAGAAGGGTGGGAGGGGGGGAGACGCAAGAGGGAAGAGATATGGGAACATATGTATATGTATAACTGATTCACTTTGTTATAAAGCAGAAACTAACACACCATTGTAAAGCAATTATACTCCGATAAAGATGTTAAAAAGAAAAAAAAATACAACAGGGTATTGCTTTTATCTGTATTTTCATTAGCATTCAGTCAACTCAAAAAATGTATTAATTAATGACTGCATTTTGTGTCAGTCATAGGATGGGTTATTACTATAATAGCAGAAATTAAAATACCATTTATAAGGAAATAAAAAATAAAGTAAACTGGAATTCCCTTTCTCGTACTTCGTCTTTCGAGGCAGGGCAGGGAGAGGAAAGATGAGGAAGGTGTGGCTACGGCACGGAAGCGCTACCCTATGAGGAAGGTGTGTACACTGGGTGGGCAGTGCCCTGGGGATGGGGGATGGGGAGGTGGCTGGCATTTCTGTCTTCCTCATCTTCCCTGTTGGCACGTGTGAGTTTCGGACTGGGTGTGATTCACGCTGTGAAGCCCTGGAACCAGAAGGAATTAAGAGAGAACCGGAGGAAATGTATGTATTTTCTAAGCCGAGGTGCTAGAATATTCCACCGTGCCAACACGTTCTGCCTGACCAGAGAGCCACGAGCCGAAGCCTCCCTGAAGTCTGGGTCTCTCTGACGGCGTTTCTCAGGGGGCCATTTCCCCACTTTCATAACAGCTCAGAACAAAAAAACAGAACAGGCTAGAGAATGATCTGTTCTACACTTGTGGGTGGTGACTTCGGTCTGGTGCTGGGCCAAGAACTTTACAGCTCCCACCTCATTGAATTCCCTTTATGAGATGAAAATGATTCCCATTATATGGACGAGCAAGTTAAGGCTCACAGAGATTGAAGAACTTGATTCAGGTTTTATAAGCTGGTAAATGATGAAGCTGTCATGTGAACCCAGGACTACATCCTAGGTTTTGCACGTTTAATCATTAATATACTGGTGACATCCCTGGCCCTTTTCTCAGCTTGGCCAGCTCCTACACTTTCTTTATGACGACCAAATAGCAACCCTTCTGGGAAGCTTTCCTGACACCCCCAGGCAAGCTGTAGTGCTGTTGTGTGTTCTCAGCTCTTTGTGTCTGCTTCTCTTAAACTCTGTGTTGTATTTTTGAGCTTCCCCAGACAGATTCTAATCATATTCATCTTGCATCTCATCCCCCTTCTCCCTGAACTCTCCGCACTGGGCACAGTCTCTAGCCCATAGTGAGTATTTAAATTATTTTTTAAAATGTTGAATGATTAAATGTAATACTCGCAAAAAAAATAAAAAAGATAACTGGCAGTTTCTGAGACCAGTCACTGTGCTAAGAAGGTCCCCAAGCAGCAGCCTCTCCACCTGTCCATCGTGGAACCCCTGCTCCAGGTCCTACCTCGGCATCTACTCCTATGACTCTACAGCTATGGTCCAACCGCCCCAGTGTGTGCCTGCGGGTCCCCATGGACGACTGAGCTGGAGGAGAGTTATTTTAGGACTCTCTGTCTGAATAAAGTCAGAAAATATCCTTGAAGTAACCAGCACAAAATCCCAGAAGCCCACGCTTCTGGTTGGACCTGGTCAGACTACCCGAGGGAGAGGGTTTCCCTGGAGGGCATCACTTGCCCTGCTTCGACTCTGTTCTGTGCCCGTGCAGTCCTGGAACAAACGATGACATCATTTACAGGCTCTCTCCGCCGCCCCCAACACCTGCCTCTCTTTACTACGCTTCGGCTAGTCCTTCGCAGACACAGGACGTCCTCCACACTAGAAGGGACTCTGCTCCTGTCCAGACTACCTCCGCATCACTTGTCCTACTTGTCCTAAAGGTGTCCTCCTGTCTTCCTGGGCTTAGCAATGTTCCCAAACCTCAAATGTTCCCCTGGGGACTCTTCTCATTGAGGGATTTTTCCCCCCATTTTAAACATGAAAGAAACGTTTCATCTGACCTCTTTGGCAGGATACTTGCCAATCATATCCCAAAATGAGAATATTAGGATGTGATAGGATGAACCCGAACGACCTCCGAAAGAAAGAGCTT